TACAATTAGGCAAAACAAAGTGTTTCCTCCAAATAGTGAATGTTGGGATGGAGGAAGAGTGTTGTCACAGCCTACCCTGTGTCCTCAGTGGTTCGTTTCTACTGAATGACTCTTGGATTGCCAGATTGAAAACTAGATAAAGCTCCAATACATGGTAGTAAAGAAGAGGAAATTGCAACAGTTACTACTTGTCAGACAGCCAGGGAATAAGTAACATTTGCTGAAATTCCCTCTTCTACACAACCTCTAGGGCAGTGGTTGTGTGCCACAGGGCACACTTGCCTCATATTTGCTACATGACACTCCTAACATAAAGTGAGGTGCAGGACACTGTCTAGTTGCCACCAGTCCTGAAATAAGATTCAGCTGTTAGTTAGTCTGAATGCTTTCTATATGTGGGCCACCAACTTGTCCTGTGCCTCTAGCAGCAAAATGGATGGCTGTGCTTTGGGAAATCTAACCATGTATATGTTCATCTTTCAACATGATTCTACTTTACCTCCACATGTGAAATATGTTGATACAATGAAATATGTTTGGAGACAATACCTAAAAAGGGCACTGGTAATCTGGAAAATGTGGTTTGGTAAAGTGGCTCAGTTGCATGACTACCACACTACCTGCACTCATCTGTTTGTCCCATACTCTTAATATATCAGTTTGGTTGTGGTAGTGTAGTTATTTGACTTATTGGGTATAAGTTATCTGAACTTGAGTATAAGTTTCCTGAATAAAGTATACCCTAAATACGTTGGTTGAGATCCAACAGAGCCCTGGCAAATCTACACTGAAGCTGAGACCATTTATCATCAAAATTATTAGTTGTTAAATCATAAAATAATAAATTAAAATGCCCAATTAAAACCCACAGCTACTCCCCCAAATAACAAATTAACATTATAATAACCATTATTTAGTACTCTAAAATGCCATGGCATTGGCATTCAACAAGTAAACTAATTAATGTTAATTATTTGGTGACTTTTAAAAATGAATTTGGAGTAATAAGTAATTTTGAATTAATAATTTTGAAGCTCTGACCACCACCCCCCATGTGATCACTTCTGGAACAACTGAACATGGCAGAATTGGAATGGGATGGGATGGGGACAGCAAATTTGTAAATTCAAATAAAGAGAAATTTGCATAGTACATTTCTTTCCTGTCCTACATTTAATGAAATCTTACTCAAATTCTTATGCATGAGAATTATGCATGCATTTTTATACAACATCCATGTAAGGTACGGTTAGGCTCAAAGACTGTGAGTCTGCAATGTCACTAAATAAAGCATAATTTGAACCTAGCTCCTAGCTCCTAAATAAATTCTTTGAGAGACAAATAAACAAAATAATATGGATGGATTTACTGCTGGTAAATTGTATCTGACTCCCACAGTAATTTTGCAGGAGTGCAAATGAATGCCTCTGTGGAGAAAATTGCTGCTCAGCAAAACTATGGGCTTGGGAAAGAA